AAGATTAGAGAGAGCCGCCTTAGATGATTTGTTCATATAAAATATTAGCTTTTTGACGACTCAATTAGAATAGTAGATTATTAGATTGGCCTATGCTATAAAAAGATAGAAGTAGATCTAAAAAGATTTGGCTATAAAATATTAGAAATGACATTTTCATTATTAGATTTAAATGGGAATTTAAGTCTTAATATGACACAACAGAGAAAAAAATATTCATATAGCTCGATAAAAGCTTGATGTTGTCATCGTTTTTGTTGTAAATTTTTGTTCATAAATGAAATAAATACTTTGTTCTATGATCAGTTTCTAATATATGGGACAAAAAGGCATTGTATATTCACTGATCTATTGGCTTTATAGGACTTTATAGGTCTCATTGTTGTTTGAATTATGCTAAACTATTAATTTTTTTAGTTTTGATCTTACACGTACAGATACTTCACTTGGTCCCTTAATTTTCGACAAAGCGCAGAATCTATATAATATCCTATTAGCAAGCCCATCAAATTGCTTTCTGTTTTACTTTTTTCCATCATATTTCTCTATAGTTTCACAGATTTTCTTGAGGGTTTGTTGAGCTATATATAAACATCGATCAATTGATCTTTTTTAGCTCTTTTGCCAATCCTTTCTTATAATTCTTGGTATTTTGATTAGTTGGCCCTTTGACTAAACTTTATAAGTAAGTCAATTTATTTTAATGTAATTGAGCCTTCTCTCAACATTCCTTCTCAGCTTTGAATCTCTCTCGCCAACTCTTCATCCTCCATTATTTTGTTTGCTTTATTGGGAGGAGACAATCTTGTGATAAAAATACTTTCTAGCTGCTCAGCTATCATTGTTGGGTCTGTTTGATTGGTTTGGTCGCTTGGTTGATATGTTTTCTTGTTTGTTTTTTCACCCCTAGTAAAATCTCTACCTCTCTTTATAAATTTTAAATATTCTCAATCTCTAGACGCCAATAAAAAAATTGCTTAAGGATTTCATTTCATTTTTTGCATTAGGAGTTTAGCGCAACTCTTGAATATCATATGCAGCGCCAATCTCAGTGCAAATCCAAATACTCGAAGCTCATCCTGATACAAAACATGTGAGAATATTTCCTTTCTAAATAATCATCAAAATAAACATACAACAACAATAACAAGATAAATCCTTAACGTGTGGTGAGGTCGGCTACCAAAATTCTTTCTTTCCATTGCGTCCTATTTATAATTAAATTTTCATTTTAAATAAACATAATATACAAAACATTTAGTTTTAGTTTACTTTATTTAGATGACCCACTAATAAAATTCCTTAGTAAAAATTTATTATAATATGTACTTAGATAAATTTGAATATAAAGTAAAAAATATCACACTTATTTTTATTAAGACTTCATTTGGCTCCGTTTTCTTAGTGTTTTGATTTTCCGTCCATAATTATAAGTTTTTTAATTTTAATTTTTTACTAAAATTTTGTTTTAAAAAATAATAAAAAAATCATCTCAAATCAAATCTTATTTTCTTCGTATAGCTTTATAAAAAGCTGATGTCGTCACAAATGGACATTAAATCATTGGAATAATATGGATCCCAAAATAATTTTGTTATAAATTTATGAATGTGAAGAGGGTACGTATCAGTACTATTTTTTACCGTTCCTTGTCTTTCTTTTTATTTGAGATGTCATCTTTCTCCATCCTCGAGCCCTTCATTCTTTGAGGAAAATCCATGGCGTTGGCGTGTGCATGGGGCCTCACGTGAGGTGGAGTGACGTCGGCGAGTGGCAGGCAGCGGTGACCACGTGACGGTGGTCCGAAGGACCGGTGAAGTGCGCAAATACATGAATTTTTGGGAAGAGATGTGAAAATACATAGATTGCTTTTAATAATTTTTAACTCTCGCTTTTTTTTTTTTTTTTTGAGAAAATCGACAATAAATTTTATCAGTTATATTAGTGGGTACCCACACAAATTCTAATTTTAATGTATTTTAGATATATATTTTATGAAAAAATAAGATATATAAGTGAGGAAGTGATGTTGTTGAGTGTTAAAAGATTTGATGAGTTTATTTATTTATTTT